ATTTTCACTTTCACTCTCATTTTCACTTTCACTTTGACAGATTTTTTTTTCACTTTCATTTTCACATTGAAAGAATTTTATTTTTATTTTCATCTTTAATTGAATTTTATTTTCACTTTCATTTTCATTTTGATAGAATTTTTTTTTACATTCATTTTCATTTTAATAGAATTTTCTTTTCACTTTAACAGAATTTTATTTTCACTCTATAATTAATTTTAAAAAAGTAGACAAAAAGCAATTTCAAAATAAGAAAAGTAGTAAAAAAAGTAACTATCGAAAAATTAAACTTGACCAAAAAAATTTCACAAAACTGACAAAAAATCCATTTTATATTTTATTTTCCTGACTTTTTCCTCATTTTCATCAAAAATATTTACTTCTTTTTTACCCTGCTAATAAATTGAATTTCTGCAAGGAAAATTTATTATTCATAAAAGAATTTAAATATTTATAAAAATAATTAAATTTTTGCGAAGAATTTTATAAACATTTTTAAATAATTGATTTATTTCGAATAATTTTATGAAAATTCTAATTTAAATAATTGAATTCCTGAGAAATTTTTATTATTTATGAAAAGAATTGAATTCTTACGAAGATTTTTACAAAAGATGTTTTAAATAATTGAATTCTGTTTGTAAATTTTATGAAATTAGTAGATATTGAAAATCATTGAATTGCAAAGAGTCTTTAAAAATAATTAAAGTTTACAAAGAATTCAAATAAAATTTTTGACAATAATTGAATTCTTGCGAACGATTTTATTAGAATTTTTTTTAAATAATTGAATTTTCAAAAAGAAATTTATTATTTTTAAAAATAATTGAATTTTTTGTGATGAATATTGTTATTTACGAAAATAATTGAATTTGCAAAGAATTTTATTAAAATGTCTCAAAATAATTGAATTTTTAAAAATAATTTTGTTATTTATCTTTAATAATTTAATTCTTTCGAAGAATTATTTATTTATTTATGTAAATAATTTAATTCTTGCGAAGAATTTTATTAAAATCTAAAAGAATAATTAAATTATTTCAAAAAGATTTAATTAAAATTGTATTTAAAATAATTGATTTCTTTCGAACAATTTTATTAAAATATTTGAAAAAGTATTGCATTTCTATGAAAAATTCTAATATTTTATTTTTGTAAATAATTGAATTCTTCCAAAGATTTTTAAAAAATCATTTTTGTAAATAATTCTTTTTTTCGAGGAATTAAAATTAATTTTTTAAGAATAATTACATTTTTTTTGAGCAATTCCTATAAAATTGCATTAAAAATAATTAAAATCCTGTGATGAATTTTATTATTTATGAAAATAATTGAATTATTAAGAAAAATTTTATTAAATGTTGAAAAAGAATTGAACTTCTTAGAATTTTATCAAAAAATTTCTTACAAAATTGAATTTCCATGGAGAAATGTTATTAGTGAAAGTATTTGAATTATTTTATACAATTATTGTATAAAAATTTTGTTAAATAATTGATTTTTTCGAAATTTTTTTGAAAATGCTATTCTAAATTAATTGAATTCCTGTGGAAATTGTATATTATTTATGAAAATAATTAAATTTTGGATGAATTTTATCAATTTTTTAAAAATAATTTAATTCTTTTGCAAAATTTTATAAAAATACTAGATATTGAATCGTTTTAAACAATTTGATTATAATTGTTGACAATAGTTTTTTGATTTTTAGCATTAGCGAATTTAAAGTATTGGAAATTTAAAAAAAAAAACAGAAATAGTAACTTTTAGTGGCTGAAATCTAAAAAAAGTATTCAAATAGAAGAATTTTGATAATAAAAAAAAATAATAAAAGTAATAAAAGTATTAAATAGTAGGTTTTAGAAAATAAGTGCGAAGCCTGGAAGAGAATATTAATGAAGAAAATGAGAGAAAAATTAGAGATGCGTAATAAACAGAGGAAAAAAAATACAGAAATGCGTAATAATCCAGTAAAAAAAAATACAAACATGCGTAATAATAACAATCAAAAAAAAAAAAAAAAAAAAAAAAATACAGCCATTCGGAAAAGATTAAAATTAATTTAATTTCGATGAAGTGCATGAGTGTGAAATGCTGGAGCGTAATATTTATATTCGCCTGAATGGAATGCCGGATACACACCTGTAATCAGTCCAGGTTGCGGAACACCAGGGGCTTGGGAGAAGATTCTCAATGGACTATCTCGCACGTCTCACTAAGGATCGTCAGCTTCGCGCAGTCCATTGATCTATCTCTTTTGAAGATCAGATTGATAAGTCGATCTCTTTCTCCTTGGAGCACTTTATACTAATCCTCTCTGAACCGTGCCTTATTCTCACTTATTCTCCTATTCCCTTTAACTCGAAACAAATTGTCAGCCGTAAAGATCGAAATCGAATTCACTTAATACACACCCAACAATAATTACGCCATTCCTCCATAATGTTGCGCTCGCCCCATTCAGTCAACATTTTTATAACTATTTGACAATTGCAAGATCACTCAGGTGAAATTCTTCTCTCTCTAAAGTGTCCTTATTGCTTCTAAATATTGTTATATCTTCTGAATATTTTCTATTTATTTTTTTTATTGTATTTTTTTCTTTTTTTTTTACTCTCATTAATACACATGTTTGCATTTTTCAACTGAACAAAATTTGATTCAAATTTTCGATAAAAGAAAAAGAAGAGAAACATTGTTTTGCATTCACTAACATAAAATTTAATTTTATTAATTATTTATTTATTTATTTAATTTTTTCTAGTAAATTTTGATTTAATTGTTCGATTAGAAGATAGAATAGTAGAACGGAATTTTTTTTCAACTTTCGACGCATGTTTTTCATTTTAACAAAATAATAATAATTATGTGAATGATGTCAGGTCAAGCGAAAGAAATGGGATTGAGAAAGAAAATGAAGAATATTGAAAACACTTGAGAATCTATGCGGAGTGAGTGCGCGAGAGACTATTTACTTATTTATTATATTTCACTGGAGATTATGTACGCGCACCATCCGGTTCTCTCAGTCAGCACAAAAAAAAAAAAAAAAAAAAAAAAAAAAAATGAGAAGTGCTAACTACTCTAGGGTGTAGGTCAGGAAAAAGAGACACCGTTGATCAAACAAATCGATGTCTCTTCCATTAGCTGAAATTTACTTTCCCACTTAGCAATCGAACGTCATGTATGAAAGTCGCGATTGTTCCTATTTTTTGATAGTCACTAAACTTTAAATATAGGTCAATAATATGCATTTCTTCGAGATATTTATTAAAAGCACAAACTTTTGCTTCGCAACAATTTTTATTCGTTTTCTGTCTCAATTTGATATCCTTAGAAAAATATAGATGAGAAAATAAAGAAAGTAAAAAATAACGTCCCTGAAGTTGGCATCGAAGTTGAGCGTCGAAAAATATTTTTCCAGGAAACCGAAAAGAATAAAAACAATTTGTTCGAAGAATTTGGGTTAAAAAGCACACTGGAAGATATTTTAACTCCCTAGGGAAATAATGTAAGTAAAATTAGTGACATTTTCATCTCTAAAAACCTTATTAAATAATATAGTTTTTGACGCTGAGCGTCAACACTATGTTCAGCGACAAAAAATAAATAAATAAAGAAGCAATTAAAATTTATATCGTTAATAGAAAATTATAATATTGATAAATGAGAAAAGGGAAGTAGAGCATGAAAATAAGGAATCATCACCTTTTGACCCATATTTCATTATTATGACTATATTAGAGGTAATAATAAGCGCAAAAAGAGGGAATCTTATAAACGAAGGAACAAAGTTTTGAAGAAGGAAAGAAAAGTAAAGTAAAAAAAAAAAAAAAACTGTGAAGTTTTCCGCTCGTTGAATGTAACACGCACCACTTTGCAACGATTCAACGATTTGCGCGCCAAAGTGAATTGTGCAATGCTACTTGAAACCTCTCTTTTATATTTCCATTTGCAATCGACCGATCATAGCAAAATACGCGATAACGATTACATTATGTGGATTTGTCAGGTGGTTATGAAAATATCAGATAATTACATAATTTTTATAGACAATTCGAAGGGAATTGGTTTTTTCTTTTCTTTTTTTCTTCTTCTTTTCTCGCCGCACAATGCAAAAATAAATATTGTATATAAGTAAAAGGTATTTTTTAAAGTTCCGGGAATTTTTCTCTTTGTGGTCTGCAAACGAAATGCGTTCGTATTTTTTTTTTTTTTTGTTCTTAAAAAAAGAATATAAAAAAGTTTATAACTGTCATACTGTTTCTAAATATAAAGAGAGTAGACGTTTACATAAATTGAATATTTTTTTTTCTGACTGGGATATAAATTTTCTTTGCTTTGCTAATAATATACTTTACGAATAATATATATACTTTACTAATAATTCTTTACTAATCTTTACAAAAAGTATTTATACTTTTTTATTTATTATACTTTTATTTTATTTATCTACTATTTTTGTAAATAAGTTACTTATTTCGTAAAAAAAAACCACTAATTAATATCTTAAAACTAGATTTTAAATAACAATTTATTTAGTGAAGAAATTAATTTTAAGACTCTAGAAAAATTGAAGACTGATGTAAAAATATGGAGAAGATAAATATTAAAAATTGAAATTCATTTATATTAATTGACAAAGTCTCTAAATTTGATTATAAATAATTATAAGGTTACGAATATTGACGAAAATTTCGAGGTTCAATATGGAGATGCTACTCTCCACCTGCGAACGCCAAGGTCACCGCCAGGTGGCACTTTGGTATTTTCTTGAAATTTTTCTTGGAATTTTTCCTGCCACCTGGTGGCGACCTTGGCGTTCTCAAGTGGAGAACTTAAACCACCATTTTATCCCTCAAAATTAATAAAATAATGAAATTAATAAAATAAAATTTATGAAATTGTAAATTAAATTAAAGTTTTCGTTACCCATGTATAGTCGAATGGACTGAGGGATATTATAAATAAAAAAATTAATTAATTAAATAAAATTTCAGATGAACCAGCAGTGTAAGGTGTGTGGAGAACCTGCGGCAGGTTTTCACTTTGGTGCATTCACCTGCGAGGGCTGTAAGGTAATAAAGATTCTGGATTATTAAAGAGATTCACTTCCTGAAAAACTGAAATATACGGCAAATTATGTAAACGCAGAAATTGTCTACACGAACAATCAATCTTGATGTAGGAAAAAAATACCTATAATACTCTCTTTTCGAAAATTTGCATATAAAGGAATTTTGAAACATTATTTTTTAAAGCAAACATTGATAAAATTCTTACATACACGGAGTGTGGGTATATTCTGCTTATTCATCTGGAGTAATTGCGTATCTTTTTATTTTCATTTTTTTTGATAGGATTTCAGGTCTGTATATTAAATAAATATAAAAATAAATAAATAATTAGATAGGAAAGAAAAATTATAATTAGGAAAAAATAGATGAACAATGAAATGACTAAAAATAAGTTAATATTTATAATAAAATTATGACTAACAAGTTATAATTTTTAATTAACTTTAATCTTCGAAGTTAATTAATTTTTTATAGAATTAAATTTATAGTTTTTATTAGTTTTCTAAAGGTTTCTAAAAAACGACTTTTTTTAAAGTTATAAATAACAAAAGTTATAATTTTTAATTAACTTTAATTAATTTTATATCTTTGAACTAAAAGTAATTTTTCTTATAAAATTCTACCTAAGTTATAATTTTCAGCGCTTGATAAAGAAATCTAGGGGGAAATAATTAAATTAAATTTTGTACGGAACGATTCTTTAATTTTTCTTTTAAACTTTTTTTTCAAATATTGACCACTATTTCGCAAAATGCTCAATCGCTTTCTCGATTCGGTGTATAAGGAGGTGAGGTTAAACGTTTGGCTAGGCATGCGTGTCAGGGGACCTGAACTGTCGATGCAAAGTCTTCAATTTACAATTCTCGGTCCTTGAATCTTATGAGAATTTTCGAAAATTTTTTTTCAAATTTTTCCATTTGAATTTTAAAATTTTAAAAAGTCAAAATCAACCAAACTTTTTCCTCTTCTTTATTTATTCTTTGTTTATTATTCTTAATATTTAAATTCTATTTCTAGCAACAATTTGCAGAAATTCAATTATTTAAAAAAAAATAAAATTCAACTATGTTCAAAATTTGAAAAAATCACAATTATCTTTATAACTAACAAAATTCTTCTCCAAAGTTCAATATTATTTTCATAAATGTCGAAAAAATTCTTGTCCTAATTTCAATTATTTTCAAAAATTTTTCTAATTTCAATTATTTTCAATATCTACTATTTTAATAAAATTTCCCAAAAAGAATTCAATTATTTAAAAACAATTTTGCCAAAGTTCCAAACGAATATTCAATTATCATCTAAAACAATTTAAATTTCACAGAGATTCAATTATTCAATTTTCACAGATTCAATTATTTTCATAAATAACAATATTCATCACAAGAATTCAATTATTTTCATAAATAACAATATTTATCATAAGAATTCAATTATTTCCAAAATTAATAAAATTCTTCGCAGAAATTCAATTATTTTCAAAGAATAAAAAAAAATTGTCGTCAACATTTCAATTATCTCTATATAATTGAATAGCAAAATTCTTCGACAAAATTCAATTATTTTCAGGAATTTTAATAAAATTCACTGCAAAATTTAATTGTTTTCATAAATAATAGTATTCGTCACAAGAATTCAATTATTTTTCAAAGTAATAAAATTCAATTATTTACAAAATTTTTAATAAAATTCATGGCATAATTTCAATTATTTTCAAAAATTTTTCTTAATTCAATGATTTTCAATATTCTACTATATTTTAATAAAATTTCCCAAAAGAATTCAATTATTATTTAAAAAAAATTTTGACAAAGTTCCAAACGAATATTCAATTATCATCTAAAATAATGAAAATTTCACAGAGTCAATTATTTTCATAAATAATAAAAGTCATTGCAGAATTTTAATTATTTACAATTTTAATCGAATTCTTCAAAAAATGTAATTATTAATAAAAATGTTATTAAAATTCGTCGAAAGAATTCAATTATTTAAAAATTTGTTGCTAAAATTCTGTATAAGAATTTAATTGAATTAAAATGATGAAAATAATTTTAATGAAGTTACAGTAACAATATTCTTATAATATAAAATAATGATTTTATTACTAAGTCATCTTTAATTAATTATAAAACATGAAGAAATCGATCACTCCGAGTCGAAGACTCGGAGCAATCGATTTCTTCATGTTTTATAACAATACTTTTATAAATTGTTTAATTTAAAAAAGATTTGAATTTGAAATTTTTGAATGTCTTAATTCATGTGGAAAATCCTGTTCCAAAAATAAGATTAAAAATAGAAATTGTGCAAATATTTTTCTTCTTTTTCTAAAACAAAATAATAATTTTGTTAAAAAAATTGTGATTCATAAACAAAAATAATGCAAAATAAATAAATTTTCTATTTCTTAATCACAGTTGTTTAACAATTTTCTAATTTTGTTTAGAAGTAAAGAACAAAAATCTGTATAATTTTAATTTAACAAAACATAATATTTAACATAATATTAATAATAATAATAATAATAATAATAATAATAATATTTATTTAACATAATATTTAATATTTAAATTTTAGTCTTTTAATGAAAAGAAGAGAAAAAAATTCTGATGCTTTCTATTTGTCATTACAATTTTGAATTAATTATAAAATAAAAATAATTATAACATAATAATATAATAATATATTTTTTTAATGTTTTAATATTTTTTTTAATATTATCACATAATCAGATTTGAGTATAGTACTTTCATTTATTAGAAAAATATTTCACAGTTTTAGTACAATTTGTAATTGCCAGTGAAATTTAATTTTAGTAAATCTTCATTCTAGTAAAATTTACATCTAGTAAAATTTACAGTTTTAGTAATTTATACTTCTAGTAAAATTTTTTTTAGTAAATTTTAATTTTTTCTCCAAAATTAAAGAATTTTTTAAATTTAAATTTTATTATTTTTAAAATTAAAATTTAACTATATTTTTTAAAGTTTTTAATTTAAAAAAGTGCCTTAAACATAGTTTTCACTTACGAGGTGAATGAAAGTAGTAAAAAAATTAGTAATATTTTCATCTCTTAATACTTGAAAAAATAGTTTTTGACGCTAAGCGTCGACGCTATCTTCTTTATATTTTTGAATTTTCCCAGAAACTTTTTCACGAAATTTTTCTTTATATTTATTTATTATTCTTAAAATGTTTATTTTATATTATTTTTTATTTTACTAAATTAATTTCCAAAAAATATTATTTAGCAGAAAAAATTCGTTCATTTGAACATTTAAAACTTCAGGAAAATAAAAAACCGACGGAAAGAAGAAAAAGAAAGAAGAGTACTTTTTTCTTTTTTTGGAAATTAACAAATTTATATCAAACCCCCTTCCCCCCGTAGAGAAACCCCGAAATCCTCACTAATTCGAATTTAAAGTAAAAGTAAATATAATTTCACTTAGAAAAAAATGAGTTTAGAAGAAGAATAAAAAAAAAAGAAAAATGTATCGGCTAGCCGTGAGGAGTAAATGGTCATGGTGGAGAGAAACCGATAGTGATGGTTATGGTGCTCTGGCGACGGTGACGGTATGGTGGCGTAGGAGGGGACGGTGACATGCTACGATGGGCCTGAAAACGAAAATAACGAAACGAAACAATGTCGACATGACGTAATCGTTAACTAGGGCGGAAACAATTGCGGCGGACAAGTGCGAAGCGCCGGAAGGGGCCCCACTTTTTTTTTCTCTGTTGTTTTTTTTTCGAGCCATATTCTTATAACTATATATTATATTATATATATATATAGATATCTACTGCGGAAAATTGAGTATAGCCATCAGCACATAAACCATATGGACGAGCAGGTAAATCGCGCGCTCGCTAGGAGTCAAGCTCGTTCATGGACGCGCGCGTTACACAATGGAAATTATGTAGAGCGTTGTGCTTAAGTCTCTTAATGATGATTCACTTCGAAAAACCTGAGCAGTCTTCACTTTTCAAAATCTGACATAATCACCTCACCTGTAATTACCCTGTGAAATTGTTATACTTATCGTCTTCCTCTCATAAACATTGCTTATTATATATTCTCAATTCGCAAAAATTGATTTTTAATTTACTATTACATTTCCTAAGACAAGATTCTTTATTGTTCTCTTCACTAATTTCCAGTCCTGCAGTATCAATTCCATTTTTTCTAATTCTAATACTAATTTATTATTTATTTGTAAAATGGAAAATTTTGATCCAATAGAAGGTAGATAAATAACAACAGATAGTGTTATTTTCAGTATCGGTATTTTAATCGCAACGACAAGACATAGTTTTATACTTATTGACATGTAACTTACATTTATAATTTTAGTTAACCTGAAGAGGATGACAAACCATGTCATCGAAACGTCGTTAAATAAATGAAATAACACTATCTGTTGTTATTTATCTACCTTCCATTGGATCAAAATTTTCCATTTTACAAATAAATAATTCGGAAGGAAATTTTCTACTATTTCTATAATTAATTATTATTATTTTTATTGTTTATTTATTATTTTTTTGTTATTATTAATAATAAATATTAATATTAATAATAATAAAGTACATGTTCCGGTAATCTGTTCGCAGTTTGAAGTTAGTTGTTCATTGCTTTTTTGTTTCTTAACTTTTTTATAATTTTTCTTTTCAAATATTTTCAATTTTAAAATTATAATGTATTGAAACTCACCGACTTGTTGCAAAGAATTTTATTATTTAGCAAAATAACTGAATTCTCGCGAAAAATTTAATTAAAATTTATAAAAATCCTAATTAAATTCTTTTAAAGAATTTCTTTGAATTTTTTTTTAAACTAATGGAGTTTCTTTAATAATTATAATTGAGAATTTTGAAATCAATTGAATTTTATGAAGAAGAATATTATTAAAATTGTATTGAAAATAATTTATTTTTCGCGAAGAATTTATTAAAATGTTAGAAAATAAATGAATTTTATTATTTGATAATTTAAATTC